TCTTTTTTTCGATGAGGAATCACCTCCTTGAATGTTTTACACTTATTTAGTTACAACCTGTATTTTCTCTTCCTCTAACTTTTCAAGAAAAGTGAATACCTGTTATTAATTTTCCTCCTGATTACTGTTTTTATATTGAATTAATAAATATTTTTGTCCAAATACTCCTCACGTTTGATGGGATGAAAATATTTCTTATTCTTTTTCTTTATCTTTTTGTGAAAATTTGGTACCTTTTACTACCACTCTGAATTATATTTCAAGTATTATTTTTATGAAACTATCTATTTTTCGTAGACATTGTCAGTTAACTTAATTTATCACATGTACCCAAATGTGAAATTCTGAAAATCATAACTGTATCAATCAATTCAGAAAGTTATGAGGCCTTAATACTGACGATTCATTATTTACAAATTCTACAAATGAACTGAGTTGAATTTTCGTCTTTTTTATTTTGGGAGTGTGTATACGAAGTCTGTTCAAAAAATAAGACGAATTTTCATATTTTTCAAAACATTTGTTTATCCCCTCAGATATGCACATTTTGGTATGTCTCAGCGATTCGGTATTTATGTCCCCAATCGTCGCAAAACACCTTCCTTTAATGCGTCTCTTCAGTCTTGGAAACAGAAAAATGTCGCAGGGGTACAATTCTGGTGAATATGATGTCGACGGTGTTGTTTTTGGCCAAAAACTACGAACAAGCAATGACCAGTGAGCAGATGTATTGTCATTATACCAAAGCCATAAATTGTTTTTCTACAATACCTGACGTTTTCTTTGTATTGCTTCTCGCAAGCGACCGCATGATCATGTGGCAAGAACTTCTGATGCACTACACCACGGTAATTGAAGAAAACAGTGAGAAAACCCTTGACATTTGATCGAGCTTGGCGTGCTTTTTTTGTTTCGGCTCTCCTGAGCTCTTCCATTGGGACGATTGCATTTGGGTTTTGATGTCATAATCATATACCCATGATTTGTCACCAGTTATGGCGCTTTCAAGCAAATCTGGATCGCCGTTGACGACAATCAACAATACCTGAGCGATGCTCATGCGACGGATTTTTAGTCAACAT